GAAAATTAATAAAATATAATTATAGAAAAAAAATTGATGGCATATAACAACAACAACAACAACAACAACACAATTTCATAGATCAATTTTCATCAGAAAAGGTACCAAGAAAGGTGCACTTGTAATTTTCATATGGTTCCATAATATGTTGAGTAAATGATTAATGAGCTTGTCTTATATCTATGAGCTGGTATTATGTCAAACATGCAAAGAGATGGGTGTCAGACGTTTGGACAACACTACCACAGGGCTCTTTACTGTAGATATGCCTCTGGATAGTTCTTCTTCCATGCTTCCGCCTTCAGTCTGTCCTGAACCTGGAGCTGCCCTATATATACCCTTCAAAGCTGAGGAGTGGGAGGGAAGCAAGCATCAGTCCTTATCCTTCAGGTCACCCTTCCTAAATGCATGCTGTTGTTGGGTGCCATTGAGTCAATTCCCACTCTTAGAGACCTTATTAATAACAGATCCAAACTGTGTCTGCTCCTATCCTGTGCCATCCCCACAATCTCCTCTGTGCTTGAGCCCACTGTTACAGTTCTTGTGTCAAGCATCTTGTTGAGGGTCTTCCCCTCCTTTGTTGACCTTCCTTCCCAAGCATTATGTCTTTTTCCAAGGACTGGCCATCCCAGAAAACATGCCTGGAGTGTGTGAAATGAAGTCTCACCATTCGTGTCTCTAAGGTTCACTCTGGCTGAACTAAATCTCTAAGAAAGGGTTGTTTGGGTTTTTTTGTTGTTGTTGTTCTTTTGACAGACTGGTAGGAAAGGAAAGTTAGGTCAAAATGGGGAAGCAGAAGATGACGTGGCTCAGAACAGAGGACTGCTCATGTTCATTGCAGGGCTTTTTCCGAGAACAGAAGATTGAGCTGCTTCCATCAATGGTTATTCTATGCAGTCCTAGATAATTTTTTTTAATGCAAAAAATAGGCAGTTCCTTTCTTTCTCTCCAAGGTTCAAGTTTGTGGGAATGAAAATGCAGCAGAGTGAGTCATTTATTTTAGGCAAATACATAGACACTACTGGGCTAAGGTAGTTTAGAAATGACTCTAAGTGGTAACCAGAGTGCACAGTGACCGGAGGCAGGAAACATTAGTGATGTACATCATTTAGTGCAATTGTCAGTGTACCAGCCCCATCTTCTACCATTCAGAAAGGGAGAGAGATAGCCTACGTCAGAGTCTATTGCTGATCTGCCCTTCTTGTTACCATAATTATGGTTCATAGCACCACTTTCTGGAAGTACTCGCTGGGAGTTTAACTACAATATCTTTTATTTTTATCAAAACCTATGAAACGCACTTACTGACCTCTACTCTGCAGGGAGCTATGGTGGCTTAGAGGGAAGGAGTTGTGCTGCCAACCCAAAGACTCATGTTTGAATCCACTAGCTACTTCATGCAATAAAGATAAACAATTTCCTCCCATGAAATTTGCTGCCTGTGAAAACCCACTGGAGGGGCAGCTTCTGACTCAATAGTGCATAAAACAACAACTTTACAGATGAGATTAACTGAGAAATACATTTAAGTTCACTTTGCCCTGGTGGCCTAGTTAGGTAAGGAGTTGTTTGCCAATCCAAAGAAACATGGTTCAAATCCACCAGCTGCTCAGAGAGAGAGAGAGAGTGATGGGCAATCTCTTCTCATGTGATTTATAGCCCCTAAAAACCCACTGGGGCATCAGCTATGAATTGATTCCAATTCTAACAGCAATGAGTTTGTGTTTAGTCATGATAGCCTTTCTAAGTTAGGACACTGAGCAAAATTCAAAATATGTGTAAATACCACTTGGGGTTTTATATGAACTGTCCTTGAGAAAGGCTTGAGTTGAGAACTGGTGTCAGCGGGGCACCATATGAAGCAGGTATTAAAGAAAATCCATATCTCTTCCTGCTTCTCTGCCATCTCAAATCCTTTCCTTCTATTACCCTGATTCTGAATATCCCTATGTGAATTCTAAGGAGACGAAAAGTTTAGAATTTGGTCACAGGTGCTTCAAGGGCAGACATGCACAAGTCTGCGTGTTTGGTGGTTTTGTGTGTGTGTGTGTGTGTGTGTGTGTGTGTGTGTGTGTGATGTTCCTACAGCCTCTAGTGTTTTCATGCAGAACCCCATCCATGCTGGGCTAGGAGGGTTGACAAATTCATTTGCATAGTTCAATTCCACTCGGCTAAGGGGAACTGGAAACACTTCTAAGGACAATGCAGTGACAGAGCTCCTCTAACAAACTGATAGCCTTCTGTTTTGGGATGATTGTGAAGTTTTCTGGAGCTAAAAGAATATACTCTAAAATAGCTTTTAAAAAAAAGAATTTTTTTTTTTAGTGCTACCTAGGTAGCAGGGGACTATGGTGGCCTAGCGGGTAAGGAGTTGAACTACCAAACCAAAGGCAGATGGTTGGGATTCACCATCCACCAGTGCCTCCTTGGGAGAAAGATGGACAATCTTTTCCTGTGCTATTTATAGCCTCCAAAAACCTGTTGGAGGGTCAGCTATGCGCCGACTCCGACTCCATGGCCGAGAACCACCACCACTTGGTAAGAGAAATTCTAACAAGGGCTTTTCACAGAATAACTCAATTCTACTTTACAATAGTGTTTTATGAGCTAGATCATATTGTGATTCTCAGTTTATAGGTGAGAAAATTGAGACACAGAAAAATTAGGAAACTTGCCTAAAATAAGCAGAATAGGATGTTAGAGAGCTGCGATTTATATCTCACACTTTCATTCAAAAACTCGTCTCTGAAGCATCGTGCTATATTTACATGCTTTTAATCCAATCTCTAGTGGCAAGAAGCTGCACTGCAATCCCAAAGGCATGTAGTTTGAGGCCACCAGCTGCTCCTAGGGAGAAGGATGGGGAATTTCCTCCCTTGTGATTAACTTCTTCTGAAAACCCATTGGAGGGTCAGCTCTGAGTCTACGGTACACAACAACAATCCAATATCATTTGCTAGATTACCTTGTGGCCCATTCTGATACTATCACCAGCCACTCAGAACTTTCAGGAAGGACTGAGAATTCTAGCTACTGACTTAATCCACCCTGAGAAATCAAGGTCTGGTCGCAGCAGAAAGTTTTCCAAGTGACAGCTCTCTTGAGATTTTCCCACCTGTCCCTGTGAAGTTTGGAGACATTCCATACCTGTCCTGATTGGTGTCACAGGAGTCCCCAATCAGATCATTATCCACATCAGACTGCAAAGAGAACAGAGCATAACATGTATTCATGGGCTTGCACAGATAGACTGTTCCAGAGAAGGCAGACCTGGCCCATCATCGTTGGATTTCAAGAATTATTTCTCTGAAACTGGGTGGTGCAAAACTGCAAAAGGGCAACACCATATTGGTGTAGGCACAATGCTGAATTTCAAAAAAAGCCTTCTAAAATATCAAACTGCATGGCTGGGCTGCCTACACACCAGATGAGCTGATTGAGAAAGGATACCGGGTCGCTTTGCGGCAGGTGGAGACGCGGAACCCTGGCACGGGTCGGAAGGGAGCCAGTTGCGGGCATGGGGACATGACAAATCGATTTTGCTTTGCGTCTGAGTTCTGGAAATAAGCCAGACTGGGGTTGGTGAGTCATGAAGAGCAACAATGACTCCTGATTTTCAGGGCTTTAAAAATAAGTGACACATCATCCCCAATTATCCCCGTGGTGAGGGGGTGTGAAAAAGGAAGCTCAACCTGGTACTGACTGAACTTAATCTGAAATGTCCACACCTGGCCGTGTAGGGGTTTTGGGGGGAAAAAGTGATGTGAGTCCACAAATGGTGGATGTTCGTGTTTTGTTTTCATTTCAGCCCAGTGAACCTGTCTGGAGCATGGTTAAGCTTGTATCATGAACTGATAGGCAGTCTGCAGCCAGTGATGCTAACCCAACTTCCAAGGTCTGCCCGTTTCCTCCCACCCACAGTGTACAGCATCACCTCCCCTGCTCCATAGGCCAGTGGTGGCAACAGAGAAATCAGTGTTTTCTAGATGTTGGTGTTAATGTAGCCTTCACAGAGGGAGCTTCAGCCTGGAGTCTTCTCTCCCCTCTGTCCTCACCTGGTTAGGGTTGCTGATGTCAGGACAACTGTCACAGGCATCCCCCACTCCATCTCCATCCCTGTCCTGTTGGTCACGGTTGGGAACCCTTTGGCAATTGTCCAGGATATTTTTGATTCCTGCAGGAAAGGACGGTAACCTGGCTTAGGTAGCTGTCACAGTATGGAAGACATTGACTTCAAGGACTTTGTACATTGGGTCTGTCCACAGGGATGTAGTGAGGGGCTTCTGATGGGATCATAGTCATATCACCACTATATTTCTGTAGCAATTTTCTGGAGGTTTACTTCAAGGATATAGTCTATAAGATTAACAGTTCTCTGAGGTTATTTATCCACTGATTTATAATTTGGCCAAGATATCAAAGCTTAGCAACCAGAAGAGATCATATAGCGAAGTGAGGTGAGTCTAGAGAAGTCAGAGGAGGTTAGAGCTGGGACTGAAACCCAAGGCTCAAGGCAATGATGTTCTTGCACCAGCCCGGACCAGCTTATGACAGCCTGTTGTGCAAGTCTCTTCCCAATACCTCACTCAATCATACCATATTGATGACTTGAGCTCAGCTATTATGGGAAATTGACAAATGTTGTGGTGGATACTATTTTTTGGTTGTTTCATAGAGCTGTTTTACCAGCACACGACTGGATCTGTATAATTAATAGGGCTTGTAGGCAGCGGGGTTCTATTTTAGGGAGATGTGACTTTTCTGGGAGGTCTCTGAGTGGTTCAGGGCAGTTTGTTATTGGCTGCTTACCGGTAGGTTGTAGTTTGAACACACTTAGGAAGCTCTGGTGGCTTAGTGGTAAAGAATTGTGCTGTCAACACAAAGGAACGGTGGTTTGAATCTACCAGCTGCGCTGCAGGAGAAGGAGGGGCAGTCTCCTCCTGTGCAATGAACTGCCTTTGAGAATCCGCTGGAGGGTCAGCTATGGGGTGATACACAACACTGGCTCCTTGGAAGAAAGTGGAAATCTGCTTCTTTAAAAATGATGGCCAAGAAAACCTTGAGCAGTTCTACTCTGTATCACACAGGGTAGCCATGGGCAAGAATCAACTTGACAGCAATGGGTCAAGTTTGGATGTTGTGGGGTAGGGTGTGTGTGTGTGTGATGTTTCTGAAGTGATCTTGCTTCAAGGAAGGTCCTGTGATGTGTTAAGATTTTTTTTTAGGAACCATTAGAGCCCAGTCTATGTTCATAATCTGTATTATAATTATAATCTTCTATGTATCATGGACACTATATAGGAAAACCACCTTCCCTAGAGCTCTATGGGACTCCAGAGTTAGTGTGATACACCATTCCCAGAGATCCTATTAAGAGGTCTCTAGAGTGGAGGTCTGTGGAGCTATACAACACGGCGGCCCTCCTGCCTCCGTATTTCCTCCCCAGAACAGTGAGGGCATGTCTGCATTTCCTGGAGGTGCCTGATTCTCCAGAAGGAACCTGGCCCAGGGATGTAGTCTGTAATTGACTCGACTGCAGGCTGCCCCCCTTCCTCCCACACAAAGCTTGATTTTCTACTTCTGGGTCTTGGACATATGAAAAGGATGATGTGAAAGTTAGGAAATAAATGAATAGGAAGGCAAATGTCTCACAAAGACACAGTCCCAATCTGATGCCATGTTAAGTTTCAGGTAATACTATAGCATTCCAGAAATATCTATGGGAATGGTCTGTGAAGTCCCCTCCCATAGAATCCTGAGACTATCAGATAGGCTGCATGACACAACCAGAACTAGAATGTTCTCTGAGTCAGGGAACAGAGAGACAAAGGATGGATGAATCCCAATCTGAGTCAGGGAAGAGAGAACCAAAGGATGGATGAATCCCAAATGGAAGAATCTCAAACGGAAGACAAAAAGTCAGACAAACAGACCATCTCCGTCCATGTCGTCGTCACAGGCATCCCCTTTGCCGTCCCCATCGGTATCTTTCTGGTCATTGTTCAAGACAGTCTGGCAGTTGTCACAAGCATCTCCAAAGATATCCTTATCACTGTTCCTCTGGTCCACATTGTGAGTCAGGACACAGTTATCCTAAAAGATCACAAGACTCACATTTATTCTGACTCTTGTCGAATCTCTCCCCTGTGCCAGACACTGTGTCAGATACTGGGCAATCCTCCTCCTCCCCTCAATCGTTACGTGTTGTCAGAAATCTTGAGAACCATGTTTGCTACTTTTATATTTTCAACATTTGTGACTGTTAGCATGAAAAGTTGTAGTGCACTGAGAATGTACATATGGAAATGAACATTTGGGAGGATTAATGCCAAGAGTTGGCATTACAGGGTTACTTCCATCTTTGCTGGCATGCATCTATTCAAAGCCTCTCCTGGGAGCGCAGGTACCTGCTCGTTCAGGATCCCATCTCCGTCAGCGTCTTCATCACAGGCATCTCCAATGCCATCTCTGTCTGCATCTTCTTGACCAGAATTTGGCACATATTTGCAGTTGTCCTAAGTTGGAATTCACAAAAGTCAGAATGACATCCTACATGTGTTTTTATTCAGAAAGAATTGCTACTCTCGACACGAAGCCATGGGCTTTTCAGTGGGAGAAGTCTTGCCTTCCATGCAGTAGACCCCAGTTCAATTCCTAGTCAGGGCACCGCATGCACGATCATGACCATGTCACTGGAAGCTTGTGTGTTACTATGATGTTGATGGCGAGGACTTGGAAATCTACTCCTGAAAATCAGCCAGTGACAACTCTACAGATCACAATGGTCTAAATTGCAGCTGATCACGAAGACAGTAAAAAATAGAGCAATGCTATGAGCCACTGTATACGGGTTTGCCTTGAACTGGGGTCATCTTGATGACAGCTAACAATTACCACCTCAAGACTGATTTTAGCTGCCTGACTTTATACGTTATTGTTCGGTGCTGTCAAGCTGACAACAACTCATAGCAACCCTGTGAAGAGCGTGTCTGAACTAGCCCTATCCTGCCACGTCTCCTTCTCTAGCCAACTCATGCCCACTGTGGTAGCCACCATGTGAGTCCATCTCTTTGAGGCTTTCCTGTTTTTCTCTGACCCTCTGCCTTTCACCGCATGATGTCTCTCTCCAAGGACTTTATATTTGCATGTCTATTTGTATTAAACCTATCTTTACCTTCTTGCAATTCATAGCAGAACACGGCAGTTCTTCATCAGGGTAACTGTCAATGTCCACGTCTTTTCCACAGACATAACCATCACCAGCCCATCCGACTCCACACTGTGAATGGAAAACCCATGAGAGGCCTGGGAAACAGAGTCTGGTGGGGAGCGGGGCAGCTGACAAGGGTCACTGATTGTGGTGGCGTATCCCCAGAGGGAGGGCCAGGTGCCAGACAGCCTTATTGGATGTGGTTTTAAAATTACTTGCAGTTGGTCAAATGGTTTAAAATAAGTAAAAACTGATTAAAAAAAATCATCACATAGTTCAAAATTTTTAAAATGCGAAGTTCCACACATTGAAAACTTTTCCTTCTTATTCTTCCCCCTTGCCACAGGCAATAGATCCTCATGTATATAAGCTTTCAAACATATTCTAAAAAGGTCCACGGAATACAAAGACATTCTTTTCTACGTCTTGTCTTTTTAAACAATTCAACTAAACCTCCACTGCTGCTGAGTCAGTTTTCATTCATTGTGGCCCTGTACAACAGAGTAGAATTACTCCATAGGGTTTCAGAAGCTGTAAATTTCTATGGGCACAGAACACCTCATTCTTCTCCAGTGGATCAGCTCATGTGTTCGAACTACTGACCTTTCTGTTATCATGCCAACTCTTAACCTACTGTACCACCAGGGCTCCCTCTTTCACAATTAATAATGCACTAATATGTATTGCTTGGTATCTTCTTTTTTTCCCAGGGTAACATTATCACATGAGAATCTCTAATCTATGGGAGATGAGAGAAGAACACAGAGAAGTGAGGAGATGTTGATCTGTGAAAGGAAAGAGGAGGGTAGGTGTGAGGATTTACAGGGCAAAGTTGTTGTTATTAGGTGCCACTGAGTGATTGTACACAGTGTCCTATGCATAATAGCTCTCAAGCCTGCCCTGTCCTGAGCCAGTCTCACTGACTGACTCCAACACACCTACCCCCATTGCCCTAGTAAATGTATCAGTCCCTCTTATCCAGGGTATTCTTCTCCTGTGCTGCCCCTCCACCCTTCCAAGCATGATGTCCTTCTCCAAGATCTGGTCCCTCCTGGACACATGCCCAAAATATGTAAGACGGAACTTCAAAATCCTAGGCTCCAAGGGGAAACTTGGTTTCACAAAGGGGTAGATGTTAAATTTCCTGACCTCTCTAATAAAAATAAAGAGCTTAAAGACTGCTGGCTGCTGGTTTTAAATTGCTGGTGCCCCCATCATCAGAGGTTTTATAGGACACCAAAGACACTCCTCTCCACGAGCGCCCCCACTCTCACCTTCTATTTCTTTCAGAGGCCAGGAAAGCTCAGTCATGAGGTACAGTCCTTGACTCATTTAATGAGGGAAAAGTTCCTTTAGGAACAAAGACTTTTTAATGAGCCATTTTCTGGCAGATTTAATGATTTTAGTCGTCACATGAGGTTTATTAATCCTTTACCATCTGTTGTTATGCCTTATTACCAATTCAAAAACATGTTAAGAGCCCCATCATCCACCATCCCAGTGGGGTGGCCAATTTGTCCAAAGAAAATATGGATTTGTATATATTTGCCTCTCCATGACTTTTATTCCTTTAATTAAAATGCTTAATCTACAAGCATTTGGGCAATTGTATTTTATTTCACCCTCTTTTAGGGCACATTGCTTAATCTTGACATGCTATACAGTATCTGGCTTTCCAGGGATAGCAGATAGTATTACATATATTTCTTTTGAATTTGTAAAACATTTCCTTATGTCTGTTGTAGAAGATTTTACAAGCATACACATAATGAAGGCTGAGTTTGAAGTATGAAGCAGAGTAGGGAGAATCTCCCAGAACCTACTCTGTCACCATGAGCCTATGAATCGTAGAGAACCTGGCTTTCTGGGAATGGAGGAGATGAGAAGTGAAGAGAAGTTAAATAATGAAGTCCAGTGATTTATCAGAGACTGGTGGAGAAGTGGTTACAATTCTTGGCTGTTTACTGAAAGGCTGGTGATTTGAAGTCATCAGCCATGGCAAAGGAGGAAGATGAGGCTTGGTGGCAGTAAGTGGAACCTAGAATTCAGAGAATACAAGGCAGAAAGAGCCCCCTCCTTCACAAAGGGTCTACCATCAGTCTGAGACTGCATTGTAATCTTCCCTGTCTCCCTCTCTACAGATATGACTGTGGGGTTGGGAAACACTTAAGAGTGAACATTCACCAAACTTTCCCAAGAACCTTGGCGGAGGTAGACACAGAAAATGACCCTCATGTACTCCCTCTCACTTCCCTGAAGAATACACAAGAGTAATGTCTGAGGGTTTAAAGCAATCTAGTACCTCTCCACTGTGTCTGCGCCCTATAATATTAAACCAGATTTTTAAGCTGAAAGTGAGTTAGAAGTGACAACAGATACACAAGTAAGTTATACAAACAGATAGGACAGTAGAAGGAGGAGGATATGGAGGATCCCTCATTTTCCTGAGAACTCGTTTCTCAGGTTTTTCCTCGGAAGATGTTTGGGAGCAAGGGCTCTATCTGGAAAAATTGCCACTGAGGCGCCCAAGTGAGTAGTGGTAATCCGTGATCAAGTAGAAAAGAAGAGGCAGCTGATGACTAGATGAACTTCAGATGGCTCCCCTGAATTCAGTTGGCCTGTTCTAGTACATTCTGTGCTCACTTTGATCACGAAGGTTTCATATATTGTACTGCCACTCTGAGGGAAGGGGGAACCAAGGGGTGTGAGTGTTCACAATGGAAGAAGAAAACTGACAAGGGGAGTGAACAATTTACCACGCATGACACCTCGCCTTGACGCCTTTCTTCAATGCACACTGCGTTCACACTGCAAGGGTTCATTTCTGGATTTCGGCAGTTTCTCTCCATTTTGCATCCTCTTGTATGATCACCAATGTACCCTGGCTTACAAGGTCCACAGCGATAAGATCCCTGCAAGAAACAATTGCAACAGGATGAACCAGGTACTCAACACAATGCACAAAGCTAATGGTCTTGTGTCTACATTGGTATGTCCTCAATCATCCTGGGAGTGAGCTCCATGCCTGCCTCTATAGCACTGTTACCATCTAAGATGGAGTAAATAATGGCTCATAACACAATCAGAGTGGAAGTTGTGACAGTTGATGTAGACAATTAAGGAACAGGACTTGAATGCAGAAAGTTGGATGAAGGACCAACTTTTACTTGCCAGTTCCATTAGGCATGCTATCAAGGGCTGAAAGTTACAATGAGTAATGAGAATCCTATGAAATGCTGTGAGAGGGTCTACTCTGTGCTAAGGGGAATGATTTGATTTAAAAAAAATTT